TAGCGCCCGGGGTGGAGGCTGCCTCCTCGCGACCCCAGCCCGTTCCGCGTTGCTGGGTCACAAATCACGACCGCCTCCTTGCAGGATATCCGCCGACTTCCTGCCTGCGCCCCGGGTAATTACAGGGTCACCAGCTCCAGCGCAGCCACCGCCGTGGCCGGCTCCGGCTTCCCCGGGGCCAGCGCGGGGGCTGCTCCTTCCCGCGGGGTCACGCACGTGCTCCGGATGTGGCCCCCGGCGCTCGCGGCCTGGTGGGAACGCAGCACCTGGCCAGGGCGATGCGCGGCTCACGGCTCCGGACACGGGCCTCTCGCCCCCAGGACACCCGGCGTCCCCCTCCCTGCGCCCGCTCGGCCCAGTAGCTGCACTGGGGAGCAGGGCCCTGCCAGCGGTGCCGCGGATGCCAGGATGCGGCGCAGGGACTGAGGCAGCAGAGCTGGACCCGCCCCTGCGCGGGTGCTGGGCGTGCATCGGCAGGAGGATTTCCAAGGGGAGCGCAAGTCTCCCCGAGACCACCCTTGGCACTGAGCCCCACGCTGGCAGCATGGGGTCGCGAGGCGCAGGCGATGGAGGGGCTGACAGCCCCAACGTCACAAACACAACGGTTCGTTGCTGCTGCCAGGAGCTGAACGGGCCACTCGGTGCCCCGGAGCAGCTAGCAATGGCACCAGGCGCTGGGAGCCCGGGCAGGAGGGGGCACGGGCCTGAGGACCCCTGTTGCCAGAGCCCGCCTGGCCTCAGCCCCGCTCCCAGCCCCTGCTCAGCCCTGCCGGGGCCCCAAGAACATGCAGGCAGCCCCGGCAGGGTGCAGGCCAGATGGGGAAACTGAGGCACAGCACCCACCGCTGCACACATGCTTCCGGGGGGCTGCGAGCGCCGGGCCGTGGAGCTGGGTGAACCGCCCCGAAGTCGAGCCAGCCCCACCCCGCAGCGACCCCCCACCCCTCCCTGCCAGCCGCCGCCGCCTGCCAGAGGAGGGTGCCCCGATGCTGCCTGGTCCCTGAGCTCGTTTGCTTTACATATGCAAGGCAGCGCTGCCATGGCAACGGGCCTGCCGGTGCCGTCTGACCCGGGCGGCGTCGCCGCGCTGAGACTCTCATTAATTCCAGAATGGAAATCAGCTCTGCGCCACGCAGGGCCGGGGGGCGGGGGCTCCTGCCAGGGAGGGGAAGGAGGGGAGGGAGGGGGACTTTATGCCAGCGCCTAGGTCCTGCCGCTGGCCCCCGTGCCAGCAGGGCTCTGCCTGCCGCACCGCGCTGCCTCTTCACCCTTGAGCTGCACGGGGCGCGGGGGCTCTGGGAGGCCGAGCATCGGCGCTCAGCCCCTCTGACCCCCACGAGCCCCCGCACGGCCCGCAGCCCCCGCCCCAGCACGTGCACTGGTGTGCACACGTCTAATGCCTGCCCCGTGCCCCACCGCTTCCCCTGCTGCCTGCGGGGGCCCAACAGCCCAGCCCCCCGGGCCGGGGCATGGGGCAAGACTGGGCAGGAGGCAGGGGCGCGGGCACACGGGTCAAGGACCACCTGCCTCCCTGCTGCCATGCGGCCACGCTGGGGGGAGGCGGCCCTGTGCCGGGGGCAGAGTGGCACACGTCTCCGGCACGGACGCACCCGTCCCCGCCGCGCCAGCACCAGCAGCTGGCCGGCCGGCCGGCGCAAGACCAGCGCATGGCGCCAGACGTGGCACGCGGCCTGCTGCCTCTCCCAGCCAGCGATTAGCTCACCGATAGCTGGGCTGATAAGTGCCAGAGCCACCACGGGGCAGGGCATGGCTGGGGGGGTGCACACCGTTCCACCGCGATGCCCAGGGATGCTCTGGGGGCCAGGGCCCTGGGGCCGGCTCTGGGGCTGCTGTTGGGGCAGGGGGCAGCAGGACAGGACAGCCAGGGGCAGCCTCCGGCCCGGGCTCCAGCCGTGCACAGGGAGGGGGGCCCCCGGAG